TAGATGAAATTGACTTCAATGTTGTAGTTGGTCTTGAATTCTTCATAAGATAGATATTTGCCAGTATTCTGAAGAAGATCTTTTACAAAATATACCCCACGCTCGCTCCAGGTTTTCCAATACAAAGATTTTCGTTTGATAGTGATATCTCTGCTGTCCCATATAATCAGGTCACCTTTTAAGCAGTCATCCCTATATTGGTCTCTTTATTCACTTAAGTAATCTAGACGTTCTGAGTAAAAGGTGGAAATATTGTTGTCTAATTTTTTGTCATAGTTGCAGTTCAAGAGAAGCGGTAATCCCCCATATCTATTGAAGTAAGCATTTGGAATTGCTTTCCGAGTATTCACTTAGTAGCTTGCCTGTCCAGTTTAACTGAAGTACCTTAACAGTTGTTCTAGCATTTGGAAAGTTTAGACCTCCTCCACAAGGTCTTCGCTACTTCTTGTACTCGTTTAATAACTTCCTCTTGAACACACAGCATTGAGGCTGTGTATGTAAGAAATCCCTGGTGTTTTTACCAATAAAGTTCGTCCCATGAGGGTGAGGTCCCGAGACAGCCAAACATTTAGTTTTGTTTCCATTTTTGAATTTTGATGAAGAAGTTTCAGTCGTTATTCTTATTACGATTGTACGAAATATAGATTCGCAGTGTTTAAGTTGGTTCATTAGTTTATGTCTATTTGTATCATTATATTTTCACCAGCGACGAAGTCGGTTGTCGTAGTCGGAGTCGTAAGAGCACTTATGACTTAGTGAAAAACGAAAATCGGAGTCATAAGCTTGACGGAATCGGAAGAATCAGAACGTTTCCATTTCTCCCGACTCCGTCGCTTATGATCCTGTGAAAACTAGATTGTCGGAGGTGGAAGAACCAATCAATCACAAGGCCAGGAATCGAGCATTTTGATTGGTTTGATATTCTTCCGCTTCTATTTCCGACTCCGACAATCTAGTTTTCGCTAGATCATAAACGACAGAGTCCTAAGCAGAATCGGGTGTTCTGCTTCTGACTCCGTCGGTTTGATTTTCATTAGATCGTATCACTCTACACTTCTGATTACGACTCCGACTACGACTCCGTCACCAGTGAAAACTAGCCTTTAGTGATTCAATATCCTTACAGATGAGGGTTGTATCATTAGCAAATTGGCTTAGTTCGACGTTTGCATTATTTGGGAGCTTAATCCCCTTACTCTTGCTAATTAATCTGACGTATCTTTTGCGCTAGTAGTTCTGCAGCTAGTATAAATAGAATAGGTCCCAAGGGACATCCTTGCCGAACACCTCGCGTAACCTCCATTTAGTGTTCCGCTTTCTGCATCGGAGTACATGACAGAGATCCAGTTCCTAAGGCTTGGACCGAGCTTTAGATATTTTAGCGTATTATGAATGAATTGCCATTCTAACGTATCAAATGCTTTCTCGAAATCTGTAAGTACCATAATTCCTGGAATTTTGTTTGGTTCAGTATATTCCATAACGTGATTGAGCAGTCTCACGTTTTGACCCATAAACCTTCCTTTGACGAATCCGGTTTGCTCTGAGTGTATAATTTGGGTAATTTGAGTTCAATTCTTTTCGCAATTGCTCTTGCCAGTATTTTATAGTCGACATTTAGAAGTGTAATTAGACGCCAATTTGTTAATTTGACCAGGTAGCTTCGGTCCTGTGGTATTAGTGAGGTTATACCTCGTCTCTGAGAGATTGACATTTTTCCTTTGTCAAACGTTTCGTTGTAGGAGTCAGTCTAGGAAGTGGCCAGCTATACGATCGATAGATCTCTTCAGTAGTGAAACCATCTCTCTTATTTTCAACAGAGTTCTTAATAGTTAACCAAAGTCAATTGGTGTAGCATGTCTAATTAACCCGTCAGTTGCACCGTCGCCAAATCCTGGCTTAAAGTCAAGAAACACGATGTGATGAAGTCAATGATGTTAAAACATTAGATTATCAAATTTAGTTTTCAAGTTTCTATCAGTTTACGCCTGAAGAAGGACATACGTTTTCAAACTTGTAACTCGCGCTGGCTGCTAAAAACAGCTCCTCAGTATTCAAGCGTGAAACCGACCATTTGCATGTCTAATAAATCTTGAACCATGGTCTTTCTATTAAAAAAGCAATACTTAAGATGTGAAAGGTGAATTGATCAACATGACAATGATCTTGCTCAACATAGTTCTCGTAGCTCAGTGGATAGAGCGCACGCCCGGTGTTCGGGAGGTCATGGTTACGATTTCCCTCGCACAAAGGAGACCAAAACTAATTGCTGCAGAGAATGATCATTCCCTTTGTTGTCTTTTGTGCTAGCACTTCTATTTGTTGTTTATAATAATAATTCGACACTTTACTTTGACGTAGATATTTTGATGTTGTTTTTACACCAAACGGTAAATCAGTAACCGGTAACCAGTATAAACCAGATTCTATCATGTGACTGGCGGTTTTGTTGTTTTGTCAGAATCAGCGGTTACTGCTGCATTTGACATGAAGCGTCGCGTGATGTTTGCTGCATGTTGTGTCCTTGTCTGGCTGTCGGTGGTGTTTTTCATTCAGGAGCTGGCTCCAGTTGTGCGTTTAGTTCGTGGACAGAATAACAACACGATGGAGCAGCATAAAGAAGATCGACTAGAACGACCAGAAACCACGAAAACAGAGGAAACAGCAAAGACATCCGGCATCGAACAAGGCTTAATTATGTTAAATTACACTGGAATAAGGAGAACCACCTCTAAAATGGAAATTAGCCAAAGGGTTGAGAACATTAAATCACAGAAGTTCGCCCCAAGGAAAAATCTGATTATGTTAAGTCCCGGAAGAGGAAGGTCGTCTTTCCTTGGAGCGATGTTTGACAGCAATCCGCACGTCATATTCTGGTTTGAGCCACTGCGAATAGAATTCGAAAAACTATGTAAATCTGGTGTGATCAAACAAAGAAATGAACTAATCAACTTCAGACAAACGTGCGTCAACTTAATCGACAGCTTCTTCAAATGCGATTTCAGTAATATCTCAAATGCAAAGTTATCTGAATTCTCAAGGCAAACGCAGTAAGGCGCTCACTAGTGGGTATTTGTGCCCCGGTAAGAAGTTAAGATGTCTGCCGTTCTCAGATTCACTGCTGAAGATGGCCTGTAACACTTACAAACATACGGTTATCAAAATATTGACCTCTCGAGTGCCTGACAAAACTATACAAAGTTTCCGGGAACTTTTCCAGCAGCAGAATGAATATGATGTGAGATTGATTCACTTGGTACGCGATCCTAGAGCAGTGATTTACTCTAGAATGAAATCCGTGACCTGGATAAAAAGAAGTTACCGAGGTTCCAATTTTAGTTTATATGTTCATAAGCTTTGCGATCCCATTGAGCAGTATATACGAATGGGTTTGCTCTTTCCCCCACCCTGGCTTAAGGATCGCTCTAAAGTATTTCGTTACGAAGATCTTGCGGTCAATACCGTAAATATAGCACGGGAACTGTACAGATTTGCAGGATTTGATTGGTCTAAGAGCGTTGATAAATGGATATCTGCTCATAACAGACCGCCAAGCAATACCAAAGAAAAATCAGCTTACTCTCTTTACAGAAATGACTCACATGTTATTGATAAGTGGGAAAATGTACCGGAGGACTTAATAAAAGTTGTAGAAGAGGTTTGCAGCGATTTAATGGAGATGCTTGGTTACGACAGATGGATAAACAAAGAGAAGTAGATACATTTACATTTACTTGACAATTCGCATCACGTTGATGGCCTATATTGCAACAACATTTTCCGTAGTTCAGTCTGGAAAGTGGCATCAACGTCTTTCATTTCATAAGAATACACCAGAAACTATTCATCCATCCGTTTTCCAATGGCTTGAATGTAAAACAAATGCAACAGAAAATTGGCAAAGCAACTCTGGATCATGAGAGAAACGAACACTTGAAAGGCCAATTAAAACCACAGATTTGTGCATGGAAGTCTTGGAATGCTGCATGTCTGAAACTGACTATCCCCAAATGACAGCGCTAGAACGACAAAACAACTTAAGGCGTTACTATTTAGTGGTAAGCAAAATTTAAAAAATGAAATTCATAAAATGTCTTGTAACATGGTTTTAAATCAATTGACAAACTTTACAAGAAACCAGTGGGACCAACCAAGAAAAAATAGAACGACATTTTCCGGTCAAACCAGGCCAACCGAGACTCACCATTTCTACTCCTTTCCCCAGCCTCCTACATAAGTGAAATCTACTGAAGAAAAGAAGCAGGGCAATGAACCGGTTTGTCAAAATGGAACGGCAAGTTTCGTTCCGACGGTCCGACCGATCAAAGTGGGCCACCTTCAGAGGTCGTCCCGAATATTCCGGTGAGGTGGAACCGAAACGGACCTTTCCATTTGACTTCCAACTAAAATTTCCGGAATAGTGGAAAACACCGTAAAAGTGAAAAGTGTGGATTTTTTCTGGAATAAACCATCAAGCAATATGAATTGCTTGACGCTCCATGTAAGCGGCCCAAATGGAAAAATTGTACCTTTATATGAGCACAGCCGTGAGAGAAATAAACTTACCAGTTACTCCTAATGTTACTGCAAAAACAAAAGACATCAATTATTAGTCAGAAACGGAGCCAAGGGAGGGGTTGAGGGGGTTGCAACACCTCCCCCCCCCCCCCTTTGGGCAGCACTGCTTTGTTATTTGTTTGACTATTTATAAAAATAATAGAATAAAGTTCTTTGGTTTTTTATACGTAGTTGTTTCATGCCCACCAATTGTTTGGTTGTCAAATTGGGTAAAAGATAATGTACATTTCGGCACTGCATTACTTTGGTTTTCTGGTTGAGAAATAAGGTCAACTCCAGATTTTATACCATGCCTTAGCTTCACAAACACTTGTCACTTATGTCAGGAATGCCGGAAATGGTGCTTTAGAGGGCAAAATCAGATAAAATTTTCTGAGGAGGCATCATCCCGGACCCCACCTAGAAGCTCACGTCGAATCGCGTCTGCGGGTCTCGATCGCCATCCGCACACACCTGTCAACCTACTTTTAATTAGCTAGAGTATGGCCGCCATCTTACGCGACTCCGTCGTCGCCGCTGCCGTGCTTACGTGCCCACGAGCAATACCGCTAGCCATGATAACCATGAGAAGATCAACTCATGGGTTTCCTTTTCTTTCCTATGACTATGGTGCTCCGCTTGGCGGCCCTTCGGGCCGCTGGAGCTCCGCTATAACAACAGTTGAAAAGTTAACGTTACTTCCGGGGGCAAATATATTATCTTCGAGGGGGTGGGGCGCTACTATTGGAATTCTATGGTAGTTAACTGGAATGAAGCATCACAATTCTCACAAGGTTAGTGAACTAGTGGGAGCCTTTTGTGGCACAAAATTATTGTTGTTATATTATGCCAACACTGGGAACACACAATCTTGTTGAATAGGATGGGAGTGTATAAAGGAATGAAGAGAATGAAATAGTTTACCTTTGTCTCCAGTTGTCATCTCTGACGCGACCTTACAGGGAAAAACGCTACCCACATATCCTGCGTAACACTGTAGCGCCAAACTCGTAACTAGGCCTTTTCCCATTGTGCAAAATTTTTTATATCGTCAAGTGAGGCAACTCTTTTCCCAAACATTTTGAAAGCAATCCGAAAATTCACTCTAATGTCTAAATTTCGTAGTTTCCACAAACAAAAAGAAGCCGACATATTTTTTTACAACTTGGCCGAATTTGTTTTCGAATACTTTTACGACAGTCGGAGAATTTTGCGTCTTTTGCAAAGTTTTTTCTCGAATCGCTTTTCGCAACATGATCTTACCGTCACCCAGGTACCATACACGTCATCCAGCACGCGCTCGCGGTCCCCAACATCTACACGTTTTTTGACACGACAAACCTTTAAAAAATCCTTCCCCAGCTCCCAATTGTTATCGCGGAATCTCTTTAAAACGCTTCGGGCATTAATTTGCGACATTTTGTTTCCGTGTAGAGATCGGGCGACTTCGGACGCGCAAGAAAAACCGCAAACCGGGAGAGGGGTTTGTAAAGATTTCTAACGTCAAAAAAGCCTGTGTGGGAAAGGGAGCAAACTAACTTATTATTCTAGACTACGACCTCTACTCTGCCATTAAAAACTAAACGCAAAGGTAACACACTCTAGTGTATCTAAAGAACGTTTTTACTTTAATAATTTTTAGCTGCTACTTTACACTTAGTTCAAGCCCGATGTTTCTTGAACGTAACAATGCGAATACATGCGAGTTTTTCTTGTGCCCAATAGCAGGTAAAATTGCCAACAATACTTTACAGTGCGGCATAATCATAATCATTAAAATGAAGATCAATGGAAATAACTTACAAAGAACTGTATTTGTAGTTTCACTGGTTGCGTTTCAAACGGCACACCTACACGACATATATTAATTACCCTAAAGCAAAGTCTACTCTAATACCTTTCAGTTTGGTGAGGTTTACTGAACTTCGCAAAAATGTTACAAATCACCTTCATCACGGGTCCTTATGGCGCCATGGGACGCATGAAGCCTTAAAAAGGCTACAAAAACAGGTAAAAACTTCGTCATTAGGGGAAGACATCGAAACACAAATAGGTGACCAAGAAGTTGACATTATTACACGTTCTTCAGCTGTGGGCATTTTTTATAGGCATCAATCACTGCATTTACTGCCAGATACTCGTAAAAGGTTTCTGGTATTACATAAAAGCACTCTTCATCAAACTTGTGCAACTAGAATTTTCGTTCATTATCGTCATATGAACTGGTCTCATTTTCCATTCGGTATCATCCTCAAACTTTCCGAGTTTAGGCTAGTTATTAAGAATCAGAATCTCCTCTAGTGATTTGTAAGTATTCACAAACTGTCGTTTGTTTTTCCGGTTATGTTGACTGGCCACCGATCACTGTGGCACTATAAGCCCGGAACTAAACTTTTTTATTTAAATTATAAAGTAGGTGAATATCATCTTCTCCTAACATTACAAGTTGAACGTTTTTTCAACAGCACCCCGTGAGACGCTGAAACCGAGATATCTTTACCTCGGTCAGCGGTATCTTTTTCTTAAGAGGGCAGAAGCTGATTAGGAACGGTATACCATTAAAGACAAAGCTATTTAATTTTCAACAAGCAAGGAGTTCTAGGGCTACGACCATTGTCCCATCTGATCAACGTTTTATGACTATTTACAAGTGGAGTTTGAAAATATTTCACCAAAGATCAAATACAAGAGGACGTGAGGTATTCCATTCTCACCGAAGTCTGATCTAGCAAGTGTTTGATCTAGCAGTGTTGAAGCAGCTTACATGTACACCATAGACAAGTTTTTTCAAGGTGCACTTTGAGAAAAACACTGGTTTGACGAAAAGCGCAATGACTCTACATCCCTGGAATAAGCACGGTATGCTAAAGGTCTCTGTCAGTTTCACGTCCCGCCGCTAGCAGATCTCTTTCATTGTCGTCACGTCTTCTTGTTAAGCAGTGTTCATTATCGTGTGCGTACCATGACAACAGAACAACTAACAAGAACACTTATCACCAATCAGAAGTATGTGCGGCGTCTTCAAACACCTGAAATCAGAGAATTAAAACTCAGTTGCAATCATTTGCAGTGCATCTGTTAACATGACTATTAATTTTAGGGTATAACATGTTTGGAAATTTCACTTAAAAGACTGTTTAGAATTCAGCTCTAATTTTGTCTTCAAACCAGACCTCTGAAAAAAGAAAGTAGTTTTTGACGGCAGTATAGATTTCATTTGTAGATTGACTGAGTCTAAAGCCATGCTCAAATCTCTAACTTCATGAGCCGAAACTAATGCAAATGAGCAAAAACTATTGTTTTAAAATCTCGTTAGGATTAGGTTTGGCTCATGTCAAGTTCGACGTTTGGACTGAGTCTAAATATCATGATTTATGACATTTGACCGACTGCTGCGAGGTTTGTTTTCACAAACAGGCAAAGGTTGTCTGGAAGGCCAATCAGGCAGTCCTCTTCCAATGGGGCTTACATTATTAATTTTACGCGTTTTAAAATCTTCACATTTGTTGGAATTTTGGTCTGCAAAATGTAGTACTGCAACAGAAGGGTTTGCTTGATAGACAGATGTTTACCTCAAGTAGATTTCTAGGACCAACAACATTTTTAGGAACAAATCCGTCCTCATCAAAAAGCGGCCCTCGCCTTCTTTCCGATGGAGGTGTATACCTCTCATGTTCTGGACTGCTTGTATGAAAAGGTGGTGTAATTCTGGACAGAAAAACAAAATAATCAATAAAATATAAGACTACCTGAACCTATTTATAGGTGTAAAACGGTTTTTTTAAGGGGGTTGGGGTAAATCTACTCACCTCTCTTTCTCTGGATAGATTTGAGGAGATATGTTCGATTGATCTGTCCGGCTACAAGGTGTTAGATGAACAGGTGAACTGCAGTAACCATCACTGAAAAACGAAAAAGGTGTAAAATCATAACTGAAAGAAAACAGCTGAAAATCATTTGTAAACACTACACCATTACATGACATGAAATCCTTTTCATCAGTCATCTACGTGTAGCACTTATAATATTTAGCCGTAGGTTACTAATTCTGTACTAAACAGGTTTTTTTTAGGATTGCAATGCAACTTTTGAAAGAAAAATCTGAAAGAACGAGAGAAATTCCCAATCGATCACTAAGAGTGTAGTTATCCTGAAAGACAAATGAGTCAGTGTTTGAACGCTTAATTGAAGATAGTAACGGAATGAGAGTTCACGAAATTTAAAAAACTGCAAAATAGAGCAAAACAAAGAAAATGAGAGGATCATCTTTAAAAAAATGTATGGTAGCATTAGAGTTTATGTGTTAAGTTACCAGCTCACAATCAAGACATTCAAACTGATACAGTTGATGAATAATTTACACATATACCCGTGCCATGGAGGTCTTGGAATGGAATGCGTCAGCATTTCTTCAAATGATATGCTGCAGTTGGGAGTGGCACTGCTCTCATACATGGAATTATTACAGGATTCTACAGGGAAAAAAATCATATTTCTCAAACTGAAAATAACAAATATTGAGCAATGCACTACATCTAAAAATATTCCTTGGATCTGAGGTACATGCGTGGGGGTCCAACGGCTGGTGTATGAGATTCCTTGGTTCAAGGCTATGTTCTGTTTTTAGTAGGGTTTCTTTTTGCCCAGGAGTATAGGAGACATTTTGTATTACAAAATACAAGTGTACCAGGAAATCCTTTCCCAGGGCAACCTGAAAAATATTGGGAGTACATGCAGAACATTAAAAAACGCTCCTGGGAGGGAGAGCTTCAGAGGATGAGAGCTTCAGAGGATGAAGGGTGAAGGGTGATGGGTGAACCTTTGCAATTGTTGTTGTCATCCGTGACACACAAGAAGCCAGACTGAGCCTTAACTTCCTAAGGGTTTCATACTGCCACAGGCTTCTCTAATCCCTAGGACTGGAGTACTGCAACATACTTCAACTGTGCAGCATATCAACAAGATTAGGGATACAATTAAATTTTACAAGTCACATTATGCCACAAGGATACTTTTAACTTATCACATCCATTTTCTGAAACATGACTCAAGCCTTCAATACTCAGAACTGAAGCCCAAGTTGCTTGCTCAAATTGTGAAACTCATGGACTTAGTTGTAGCATAGTTAGTATACTAACTATGGTTGTAGTTAAATTATGGTAGAAAAAAATTAATTTTCACCATCAGAAGAAAAGCTCAAGTCCTCGTGGAACGATGTTTCTGGTTTTGTTAAGGTTTTGCTCCACATCCATGATTCTATAGAGAAAAGAAAAGTACTCACAAAAAGCCCCAAGGTTTACATGTATTTTTCAATGAGAAAGGCTAGGTAACCTGTCTGAACTTTTTACGTTACTTTCCTGTTATAAACAGAAGGTCCTTACTTAATCAGTTGAGCTAATCCAGATATTCAACTGAAGCTGCAGCTTCTTTGCAAACTGTTATACCTCTGCACAATATGATCAAATTCAGTATTTTAACAAAATAGGTTGCTCATAATGGCAATGACACCTCTAGCCTGTGTTACAGTCCATGTATTGGTGGTGATCACATGCCCCTTGCACCAAAAATAAAATTCTGGGTTGTTCGTCCCTGGCAAACTAGAAATCAGACTAAGCTAAATGTAAATTTTTTTAAAACAAGGCTATCCAAAGCTTTATTTTATTATGCTTTGGACTATTTTTAAAGAAGGAAGAGTAGGCCATGCTGTTGACAGAGCCATTACAATTAATTACTTGTGATGGAAAAAGGTTACTAAATAAATACGGATCATACCTCCTAATGGACGGAAAGGCCACAGTATAATCATCCAAAGCCATAACAAAATAGTACATAGTGCTGAATACATTCTGAATATTGATTGTTTCTAACACAGAGAAAATACACACATGTAGCTCAGTTAAGAATCACAAATTTCTGAAAGTTTCAAACAATTACAGTGTAATTCAATAAGTCAATCTGAATCACTTGAAGCTATAAACACACTCACCATCCAGCCATATAAATACACTCTTTGCCTTCTCTTCCATGCCTAAAGGTACAATGATTTAGTTTTAGCTATTAATTGGTTTGAAAAATCTTGAGGTCTGAAAAACCCACCTGGATAAATTTCTCCTTACTTTTTCGTCCTGTCATCAGGACTGAAGTTTAGAAAGCCAGGACACAGAAAACAAGGCGTCCGCAATACACTGTTCAAAATGCTGTTTACCTGTCGAACTGCTGGTTCTGCCAATATCTCATCAACACTTGGTCTGACAATCATACAAACAAACTATTAACTAATTGTCCTACTGAATGAACTTGTCTTATCAATCTAGGGACATAAAATTGAAGGAACAACAGGTACATGTATTTTTTTTTTTTTTTGAAAAAAAACAAAAACAAAAACAAAAACAATCTGATGGACTTCAAAAGCAGGGGTTTCATTAAGGGCCTTGCAGCAGGAAAATTGACTGGCTGTGAGGATGATTTTGCCTGCCTGGTTTGACCATCTAGAGGAAAGTTTCTCTTATAAAGAAGTTCAGATCAAAAAGTTTTGCCCATGTGTAAAAACCAGTCACCCTACTGCTGAAAACGTTAATGAAAGCCCTGAAAAAGGTAGCCGAGAGACTCTTAGAAAGTGACACCTTTACAATATTTGACTCCGTCTTCTGTTACAAAAACATGATATCAATTCAATGTTGTGCAGGTGCTTTGGTCTCTGCAGTCCTAGACTTGAGATGGTAAAACAACTATTGTTTGGGGGGGAAAAAGAGAAAGAAGTGTATGGGGCATTTTAAAATGGCATTTACACTAAGGTGTCTCATTACACTTTTGTTACCTTTTGTATACATTTGAACAAATGAAAATGCAAACCTCACAACCTGTGGTTTAAACTAATAATTTTTGTAGAATAGATTTCACCAATTAAAGTAAAAAAATAAAGCTTGCAGGAATTGAAGCAAAGTGGCATACCAGGCCAGTACTTTTCTCCACAGAACAGCACTAAAATACTGCAAAGAGAAACAACAAACCTTTGCTGTGGTAATGGGTCCATCATCCATGAAATTAGCCTTCTAAGTTCTGGGGATATGCCTACAGTGAAAAATATAGCAGAACAATTTAAGGCATGCATGTATATCAAATATGGGCCTCCGATTCCAACTGTTATACATAGAATCTGATTCTAATTCTGAATCTATGGAGCAAAAAGTTGTCTCAGCTATTTGCATGGATCTGTTTCCAAATGTATATCTGCATCTCTGATTGAGGTGGTCGACTAAAATTTAATACAGTAAAACCCCACCTTACGTCCACCCTACAGCCACCTCTTTATTATGGCCTCTTTATTCTGGCCCAAGCAAAAGCTCAGTGAGTCATTTTCTTATTCAAAGAACCCCTTTAATATGGCCACCTTGTTAATACGGCCACATTTTTGCAGTCCGTTGGTGACCGGATTATCAGGGTTCCACTGTACTCATAAAAATATAGTGGAAAATTAGAATTATGTATGTACTTTTGTTGAGACACAGGCACAAACATTTTCAAATTAATACATTTAAGTATCTCATTCTGACAAAATAAGAAATCACAAAAATATCAAAAGGCACAACTGCATCGAACTACAGGTGTGTCTTGTGCTAATGCAAACCTTGTGTGAACACATCAGGAAGCTGTCCATTCCTGAGTTGATGCCAAGTGTATCCACCTCTAGGTAAATCGAGATCACTAGCCAACTCTAACAGAGTTATCCCTAAGCTAAAGAAAAGATAACAAAACATGTACTTTAGCAAAGCATGTTTACTTGATGGTTTAAACATTAACAAACAAATGTAAAATATCATAAGAGAAACTGAACAATTCTGGATCAACTTATTTCCTGACTTTCTTTTTTAATAATTAATAATTTTTAATAATTAGCACTGATGTGTAGAAAGCTAATATAAAAGACGCTCACTGCATGAACACACTAGCTTACATATCAACTTGTGAAATATTGCTAAACTTGATCTGACTTACTTTTGGCACAGGAAATCAACCTACCTGAATATATCAGCACTCTTAGTAAATCGACCTTGCATTAACTCTGCTGCAAGATATTTAGGATCTCCTTCTAGAGCTTGCGTAGTATCACACTAACAAGAAAAAGAAAGCGCTGTGAAAAAAATTGTGGCAGTAATCTCCATAACTCAGCAATACATAAAATTACTATTAGTTTTCCAGGTTGATTTGTATTGTGCAAAACAAAAAGCATAATTACAAATAACACATTCCAGCCAGTGTCAAAAACACAGCCAGTTACTTTTTGGCTTCATTGACAAATAAGAATAATTTTGAGAACACCCTGAAAATGACCACATCGTATATAATTAATATATATATAAAGACCTTACATGTAGTAATTAAAAGTACTTACTTTTGACAATTCTAATACCAAACCAAAATCTCCTATTTTACACAACCCATCAAGACCAATAAAAATGTTTGCTGGTTTGATATCCATGTGAACCATATCATTATCATGAAGATGTTTCAAACCCTGGTAAAATAAAGCAGTAAACAATTAATGATGAATCATCAGTAGTCAGGGCTTAACATACATCGCTGTTGTTATTGTTTTTACAAACTAGCTCAGCAGCTGTATTGTTATCTGTTGTTCATTCATGCGCATAACAATACCACGTCTCTATGGACTTCCTAGATATATGTCATTAATATTTTGTGTCTGCGATTTTGATACATCTCGACCGATGCATGAGGTCTTTCTATGGAAAAAAGAAACATTTCCATAAGTCATAACCTTAGATGGTCACTACTTTCAAAGCTATAAGGTATGACTTTGAACTAAACATGGTTGCCACAGGCATCACTTTTCAAAATTTCCCGACTTTTCCCTGATAAAAATAAGATTTCCCTGATAAAAATAAGATTTCCCTGACAAAATAAACACATTAATGTCAGATCTAGTAGTGGCTTCTGGCCTCAACTTACAGCTGTCCTTTCTATTCTTTCATTAAGAATGATAAGTTTTCAACAAATTTTCCTTCTTCATTAAGGAAAAATATTGTTCAGTTGAGATCACAGTGGCCCCAAATGTTTCTTCCAGCCATCAATGGTATTAAATCAGGCAGCCATGTTAAACTTTTTGAATTTTCCCTGACTTTTCTTCAAAAATATCAATTTTCCCCGACTCAAAATAAAATTCCATGTCTTTTCCCTGACCTTGAGGACTATTTTTTTCTCTGACCATTTCCTGACCTGTGGTAACCCTGCTAAAGCATTTCATCAATATGTACAATACTAACCAAAGACAAGTCAACAAGAAATTCCCACACCACAGATTCACTTGCTGAGTCATTTTTCTCCAAGTAATCTTTGAGGCTAGAAGACAAATGTATCATGATCATACGTGTATCACTCTCGACTGACACTGGCAACATAATAATTAACAATCTGAAATACATGTAGCTTGATATAAATCAATAAATATTTTTATGATAACTGCAGAAATTCTTGCGTGCTCATTGGCTAGTTTTCATTGTCAATATGCAGACAGACACATGAATTTATAATTTATGCGATGCGACAACAAGCGAGAGCGGACAATTTGACAATTTGTCATTGTAAAAAACAAATTGACATCAGTTTTTCATGTGTCTGTCCTGTTATTGACAACAAATTTCATCATAACATTGTCAAAGTAGTCTATGGATCCACTCGGCTATTGCCTTGTGGATCCACAGCTACTTTGACAATGTTATGACAAAATTAATGATCAATAACAGGACAGATGCATGAAAAACTGACATCAATTTGTTACATACATTGTGTTCCACATACCTCATCTCACATAACTCTGTCTGGATGTAAAGATGTTGTCTGCAATGCAATATTTTTAAATATCAATGTTTTAAATCATTCAGACCAGTTAATAAATATCAAAAATGAACTATTTGACTAGCCTTTCTTCCCATGCCTTGATAAATCTAACACAGTTACAATGACACTTCAGTCGCTCGTGCTTGTTGACCTCTTCAAGTTTATATTTCCTGCAAAGGTTAATAATAAAAAATGGGATATTGAGGGAATATCGCACTTTAAACTCAACGATATTTTAGAAGTTTTGGTAAACATGAAACTTATTTTCACCTGTCAGCATCACCACGGAACTTATCCCTGGACTTTTTAACAGCATATAGAAATCCATCCTCCTTGCTCCTCACTTTAAAAACCTTGCAAAACAGGATCAATGTATGATGATATTGTAATATTTAGTACAAGTGGTTTTAATTTTAATTACAATTATTATTATTATTATTAATAAGGCACATTAATTGATGGTAATTAAGTCTAAAATTTTTTTTTTTTTTCAGTGTTGGCACATTACAGGTCGTCCAGGTAGCTATCCATTCTTTTAGACAGTAGCAGAGATTAAAAAAGTCATAATCTTTCACCAGAAATTTGTTGACCAAAAATGCTCTGACACCAATTACAGTATGAAAATTCATCAAATATCAAGAATCACCCTCTTCCTCCTCCTTCCCCTCTCTCCCACCCTCTCTCCCACCCCCCTCCACCCCCCAAAAAAGAATCACCAAACATTGGTCATTGTAAGTGCAGAAATACACCTGCCCAACTATTAAGTTAAGAAAGTAATTTAGAATCATCAATCGTGGATATCCTTTTTGGCCTAAATTACAATGTTTACCTATAAGATACATTTGAATGAGGAAATTATGCAGTAAAATACCTCTCCAAATGAGCCTGCTCCAAGTCTGCTGATTACCTCAAAACACTGCATGATAAGCAAACCACAACAACCTCATAATACATATACCTACTAAGGAATTTGGTTAAAACACAAAACAGTGAGATGGTGAAGTGACGAATGGCTTTAGGATTGGCCTAAATAGCACTTGGGTTAGCCTATTAACACGACTGGCTTGACTGTGTTCAGCAGACCCCTGTATCCCACACTGACTCTAACAATTGGCACCTAAGTAAGATATGTCTACAAGACCTGAGGATGCTACAGCAGGGGTGAGAGGAAGGGGTGCCCTGTCTCACTACAGTGTAATGATGTACTTGTAAACAACTCTTGTTGAAATGACAACTGTGTGTTACAGTAAATTCACTTGAAGAGCTGTCACAAGTATTGGAGACTTGCTGGATTTCAGCTTAGGAGAGATTTGTATTACATGTGGGCAAGTATGCTTATACATCAAATCCCTTCTTAGGAATGCCTCTGTAATAGGGACGACTTGTTGTATTACAGAACCTTGGTCTGAAAGAGAGCAAAGCATGATTCATATAACGCTTTCCCTGGGCAAGGTCTCCATTATACAAGCAGGGGTTTGGACTCTATGCTCCCCCAAAGGTTGAAAGGTTCAAGAATCATGCTTATACAGATAATAATGTAAGCTTAGTACTCTTTCTTAAAATCATAGTAAAACGTTGGAAAAAAAACACTTGAGTTGTCATGTCAGAACATCGTATCTAGCTACCTGTTCAAAGTAAAGATCTCTTGATTTCTCATTGTAGTGAGGACTTTTAATTTCTAAATTACTATGTCAAGGATTTGTGTCAACATTTCGGATTCACTGTCATTATTCGTGAGTGTCCCTCTGAAAACCGGTGGATTCAAAGAGTAAAGCTACACTGGTTAGTGGTAAACTCGCTTTAAAGTTTATGCGCTTATTTAAACTAATCATTTAAACTGATCTACTCAGCTGAAAAATAACACAATTATCAAGACACCTATTAGATTTCCAAAAAAAGAAAAAGGTCTAAAGCGCTTAAAGTTTGTGTGGTTTGCATTCCGCAAACTTCACTCACAACACACCCACGCTTTTAAATTAAAGTCAGGTCGTTACGTTTCTTGTGTACAGTACATACACGATTCTCTTCTACTTAAAACACTTCTTTCAAAAGGATACTGCTCCCATTAGCTCGAAAACTGACTTGCAAAGCTCCAACCGAATTCCTTCTTGTATGTTTAAAGACTCTGCTTATAGGTGGCGCAGATTTCACAGGAGCTCGAGGAGGTAAACAATCTTCCTCGACCACCTTCCTTTCGCTGACTTTCCTCGGTTTTCGGTGACTAAATGTTGCCTCGCTGACGATATTAGGTATAGGTCGAGGGCTTTTGATACTCAACTCCATAGTATAAAGCGAATTTTAGTTGAAAAGAACTCCAATTTTGTCCGATAACGCCATACGTAGACATTCGTCAAGTGTCTTTTCATGCAAACAAAATGGCTGCTGCGCAGAAAACCGACAAAGTACAAAATTTGGCGCCAAACTTTAGTATGCACATAAATTAACATCACGTGATTAAATCCGTCCCCAGTCTCTCCTCATTTCAAATCCACCCGAACTTTCTTCCCAAACTTGGAATATCTAACCACATATTACGTTCGAAGAGATATGACTGCGGTCTGGAGAGAACAGATTCCAATACCGAAAAATAAGGGAAAAACGGTTTGCGTTAATTCTTTGGCGTGTTCATTCCAAATAGGAACTCACTCCAGGTACCTGCATCATACGGTACTCCAAACAGTCTTCCAAACAACGGTTCTCATTGATTCAACCAGCCGCTCTTTGGGAAAGGAACCTGCGGCGGAAATCTAACCGAACTGACTTACTTGTTCCTTGCTTGTGTCCAATGAGAAGGCTGGCATTTCCTTTGCCTTTACCGTCCTAGTCAGTTTGTCGCGACAAGCCTTCGAGTTCGCTTTGTGTCGCTTTTATATGCTGCCCATGGAACTAGTGCCGTTATGTAGTATCTGGTTTGTTTGACCTTTCCCTGATTCCCTAACTAACCCAGGAAAAATGAAACATTTTCCGATCAAACCGGGCCAACAGAGAGGAATGGCTCTTACCATTTTTAATCCCTTTCCCGAAATTCCTACATAAGTGAAATCTACTGGAGAGAAGCAGGCCAATGAACCGGTTTGTCAAAATGGAACGGCAAATTTCGGTCCGACCGGTCCGAGCGATCAAAGTGGGCCAGCTTCAGAGGTGGTTCCGAATATTCCGATCGGATGGAACCGAAACGGACCTTTCCATATGACTTCCGACCGAAATTACCGTAATTTTTGGCATAATGGAAGGCACTCCTGGAGAAATGACGAAATGGCATTACAGGCAGGACTCAATATGGAATACGGGTGTCTGTAAGGGTCAACCCTAACAATTAATAAGAGCTAACCACTGTCGAGCCAGTGATATTTAGGCTAACCTGAACGCTATTTCAGCTAACTGGCTGAAAATATAGATGTAGAGAAATACGAACACACACGTACAACATCGACAGAAATCCTTCACTTCAAAATAATACCCAAACAATATTTATTTCCTATTTCCTATTTTTTTAATATAAAATATTAGTCTAACCTAGTACCCATAACACGATTACAAACCCAATCTTAAAATAAAATCCATTAATTAATCCATCCTTTAACAAGAACACGGCCATTTGTGAAACGGCTTCACGTCATTTACATCAACTGAAACCAAATACAAAACAAAAAGAAATATAGCTTCCACTGCAAAGCTCGTCCCAGTTCAATGAAAGAATATGAAGAAATAGTCCATTACATGATCGAAATTTAAAAATTTTAAAAAGTATATACGTATCGTGTTGTATTGTTTATTGTCACCCTATGCTACAACCAAATTTAAAATAAATTGGACATCAGGATAAGATAACTAGATAGCTATATGTTTATCTTTCGGAAGGAAATCTGGAGTCACATTCTCTCATAAAACGGTGATGTGAATATCGAGTTACACCTAGAATGCGCGAACATATAGTCTAGATTACAAGTGAAAATACGGAAATTCACAGCTATGGAGAAATTGAGCCCAAAATGGGATTGAGGTTAAACCGGTGCTAGAACCAGAGCGGTACGACACGGAACGTACACCTGGAAGACAAAAAAAAAACAGAATGGTCAGACAATACAAAGTATGAAATTGAAGAATGATCATCGCAGTATATTTTCCAATTTAAGCAATTGGAAAGAAGAAGCCTGAAAAAATCAGGGCTTCAACGGGATACAATACAAAGTATATCACTAATAGTTGAACTCATTGAAAAACGCGGTCGTCTTTGCAGCGTTCAGGGATTACGGTAGAACCCGCATGTAAGAACCTAGTGGTTTAAGAACCTGCCATCTTAATACCCAAAAATATAAGAACCAGTTTAGCCAAGCAAGATCAAGCACTCTCTTATATGCGCGAGGGTTACAGTTAAATTATGATAAACATTTTAACCTAGGAGTGTGACTTTGAGATTGCATATTTACATTACAAGAAAATACATTATACTGTTGTGAATAAATACTGTATGTTCAAGGACCAAATGGTTTGAAACCCAAGTTTATTTATTTTTCTGGTAATCAACAACTCTGTCTCCTTCATAGAAATTAAGAACCTAATTAAGAACCTAGTTAGCCTAAATTGCCAATAACTACCCCAAAATACGAGAACCTAATTTGCCAGACTTCAAAAAATGAAGCTTCTAACACGCGGGTTGTTACTGTACTGTGCGCACTCGGAGACTAACGTACGGGAAAGAAGGATGGGACTGGGAACGACGCGGCTTTTAGAGCCTGATGCCGCGTTCAGTTTCCCCGCCTCTTTTAGTCCAAGGCAAGCAGCTCAAAAGTGTCAATAAACTTACCAAAACAGAGAACGGCCTGTCATGCCAAGGTTGGCTGTCTACAGAGTATTCACAGTTTGGATCCAGCCGTTTATGCCCGCCGAACTCAGCGGCATCCGTCTGCAAAGCTATTTTGTATCTGACAAGCGAAGTTAAGCAAAGTTCTCGGGTTGTGAACAACTTTATCCTCTTCTCATTTCACTCTCTATATGGAATACTCCCTTTAGAAGACTTAGAAGCAATAATGGGTCTTCATATTGGAAGAGCGTGAAAGACAGAGTTTTATTACATTTCCAATCCACCAAGAAGGAAACTGCACCTTCTTTTTTAATAAACTCAAGTTGCGAGTGTATCTAAACTAAAATTGAGAGGTAAGTGGAAGAACAGAATGGTAAAAATCTTTGCGAATTATTACGCTTCGGTTACATATCAAGCGAGTTTGGTCGAGCCCTGGTTCGTATTTCGACAAGTAATAATCACGACGAGACCAAACGAACCTGATACGCTGCCGGCCGAAGAGTATCATCAAGGTACGATAAGGTATTTAACGTACCCAAATTCGGCCAAAATTCCGGCCAAATCAGGTCACTGAGTTCATATCGCCAGATATCAGGAGAGTAGAGCCGTTCTGACTGGCTAATTGCGAGCTTGGGTACAGAAAAAGATCAATTATCAAAACCATGATGACCTGTGAGAAAGTTTTACAAAGCTGGGTCCAGAACTTACCTTTCAGGACATACCACAAAAAAATAAAATAAAAAGAACAATTTATAAGTAAATGAAAACAATAAATTCAAACTTCTCATGTTGTGATAAAGGATACTTCCCAGCGATGCTTGCACCGACTCTGTAGTCAGCAAAACTCTTGGTCGAGTGGAAGTTGAACACCCACAGCAAAGAACCTCTCTCAAATACAATCATTTTGTCATCTTCATGGTGACAACTAACGTAAGCCTGGAACATAATAACAACAGTGTTAAACCTGTCATTGCCATAATTATTCTGTGTTTTGTTAATCTCCTTCTCGAAGTCGTTGACTGGTCACCTTCATGTGTTAAGAATTAGCAAACCCAAAAGCTGAAAACCACCTCCATATTCTAATCAGTGACTCTTGCGGAAACCCAGTGTCAGCGCCAATAGGCCATGTTCGATATATCAATATTCTGACATGGCTACGAGGCTTTAAGGACAAACTTCTATATTTGATGGAGTTTTCTTTGATTCTAAGTCTCTTTGGGACTTGTGAGCAAAAGAAACTTTAAAAATTTGCAATTTGGACTCGAAAGCCTCGGATCCATGTTAGTATAATGATATATCGAACGCTATGAAGCCACTAAAGCTTATTCCTGACACCTGTCACTCACCTGGGGGGATTCCAACCAATGATATTTCTCCTCCAAGTGCAGCATGGCTCGGTCAAACTCGTTCAGGTACCTATATCTTAGCAACGGGTCGTCCACTAGATTCCACTGTCTGCGCGCATAGTGATAACTAGTGTTGTTTCCCGCCCGTGGAAAATCCAGCCATTCAGGGTGGCCGAATTCATTTCCAATGAAGTTTAGGTAACCTTCTCCACCAAGACCACAGCTTATTAACCTGTAAAACAACGCAGTACTCAACTGTCTGCAAGCTAGTTTAAAACACAGAAACAGCACACTGCTGGCAGTGTGAACACAAACGCAATAGGGTGGTGTGGATGAGAAGGAGTTGGGGCCCAATCCCTGCCCGATCTGGAGAGAAAAATAGATTGTCAGCAGCGAGAAATGAGAAAATATATGAGCGTTTGGCCGGGACAAAAAAGTTGGCCGAAATAATGAGGTGACCGTGCTAACGAGGTGTCCATAAGGCGGGGCTCCACTGTAACATGTACATGTAAATAGTATCCTTGTAAAGAGTATCCTAGTATCCCCAAATTTAACACTATATTCCATCCGACCGTTTCTTCGGAGACGCACAAAGGCGCTTAGTCGGGACGACACGAAGTAAACCGAATATGATAATCGGCACGACGAAAGTTATAAGCGAAACTTTCGTCGCACCGATTCACAAGGTCGGTTGACTTCGTGTCATCCCGACTAAACGTCCTGACCAAAATTCAAATCTAACTTATGTCACTATATTAGCATTCATCTCTCACCTGATCATTTTGTGAAGCGCTATTCCCCTGTCAATAATGTGGGTCAGCGGCATCGTGTCTGACATGTGCGAGTACATCTCCTTGTCCATGAGCCAGAACGCAATGGTCTTGTCGCCGACAAGGGCCTGGTCATGACACTCGGCGTACGCGATGGTCTTCTCGTTATGGCGACGGTTAATGAGGGTCCACACAATGTCCCACATGTTCCAGTCTTCGTCTTTGAGCTCTTTTAGAACCTGCAAGAGATAACGTGCATGGAGCTCAATGGGACTAGTCTGTCCACCTGACGTAATAAGTTTTACAAGGTAGGGGGCGCTGGTAGGTTGCTGGGATTTAGGGAGGGGGTCGATGCCAAAAAATAAGGCTTAAAAACGGAGGCCGGCTGAAACTGAAATATGGTGTTTAAAGGGGGGACACTCAAAATATCACTTTACAGACAGCTTCCACAGTATAGCAGTGCAAAAGCTGTGCCAGAATGCCTAAAATAGCGTCCCTGAAGTTCTAAAAACTCAATTTTCCCCGGGGGATCATGCCCCCGGATCGCAGATCCCCCTTCTTTGTACCCTTTAAGTATACTCAAACCTTCACGCTAACGACCATGCAGCTCCTTTCCATAGAACAGCGAAGGCAATGCCAGCACTCATAGAGGGGCTCAGGGGGATCATTATATATAACGGGGACTATCTATAAACGTCGCAGTATAGAATTTGTGGAAAACCGAATGGAAATTAGCGTGGGATGAGAAATTCGTTTCCGCCAAAAGGTGCGTGCTGTTTTGAGAGAATTTTCAAAGTAAATGCAAAGGAGTAAATCCTAATCGCATTTGCACTGTACGATTACCAATATACTATAACAACCTTGGCTTTTTCCAGCAGAGAACATACCTTGATCCACCTGTCAGGTATAGCCATTCCAAGTCGGTAGTCAAACCCTGTTCCTCCCTCACTGATCGGACGACACAAGCCCGGCATTCCGGACACTTCCTGTCAAACAACAACAACAGAATAACATCAAACTTCTGGTCACTCATCAGTGATCTGCTAGACATAGCATAGTCTCCTCCGCAGCCGTTTTTTGGAATGTCACGCAACGCTCCTCCCAGCGTTGCGTGACATCCCAAAAAACGGCTGCGAAGGACACTAGACACAGCTTTGGTTTTGTTAGGAAAAAACTGAAACTGGCGGTGTTCAACAGATATGAAAGATTACCGATAATTCCTGTTGCACTGGACTTAAACAGAGAGAAAAAAGTGGATAGCGTGGTCTGTTTTGTTAACTGTTGCCCTTTGGATAGCGATTTATCCGGCAGATAGCGTTATCCACCCATTCCAGAATGGAATCTTTCAGGTTGAATCTATGTGTAGAGCTGGTAAATAATTGAGTTTGGACTGACAAATGTCTTTTTGTTTAACAGGGCTTGGGAAAAGCTTACATTCCAGCTTGTTTTCGACAAGCAACCCCCACACTTGGCTTGCCATTGGCAGTTGCACGCTTGCTAGGTTGTGATGTTTGTCTTGAAAGCAGAATTCAGTGGCCATACAGCCTGCCTGGCCCCTGACAATTGCGCAGGTGAGCATGGAACGTTTCTTGCCCAACAGGAAAATCTACTTGTCTCGGATGAACGCATGGTACTTTTTTCGAGCCCTGCTTGTGCTAGTGACATTAGTTAATAACACTATTTCTGAATAAAAACTAAGTAAGAAGAAATATTCACCTCAGCAATGGTGATAACACTGGGATAAATAGTATGCAGCATGTCATTGGCTAGCATGAGGTAGACAAGTGATTCTGTATCTACTCCGAGTCCATAATAATCCGGATAGTCTCCACCAAAGCCGTGTCCCAGTCCGTGGTCATGATATATCATTGATGTCACACCATCAAATCGGAAGCCATCAAATTGATAACACTCCATGTACCAACGAAGATTGGACAGAAGGAAGCGCAGAACTTCCCACCTGACAAGAACAAATTACAACACAACTCAACAAATGGGTTAGGAGGAGATCAAAACATCACTGTATGCCTCATATGGTCCCACAGTTCCCTTCTATGGCTAACACTGTGAAGGAATTACGTGGGTTGGTTTCCAGCACTTAACATTACCTCAGAGTTAATTCCCTACTGTCCAGCTTCTAATACCAGTGCTGAAAGGCGCAGGATTACAATCACAGAAACTTCGACAAAATAAGCACCATTCATCTAGATGACTTGCGCTCACATTGTCGGGGGAGCAAGGACAGCGTAGTGGCGAGAGTGCTTGCCTCCCACCAATGTGGCCCAGGTTCGATTCTGGCGTAGTGCAATGAGAAGGTTGTCGGTTTTCGCCTTGCTCTGGGGGTTCTTTCTCCGGATTTTTCAATTCCAATTCGACCAGGATAGAGGAACAGCTCAGGCTGATGTGAATTCCTCTCTAAATATTGTTATTTACTAAAACAGTTCTTTTAAGAACTACTCCTACCCAAAGGATCACTCTAGACGAACTCCTAATGCTCCTGGGTTCAAACCATTTACTATCGTGCAATCACAGTAAGTTGTAATTTTCTGTATACTCACTGGGTATAGTTGAAGAGTCGACTGTCCCAGAGAGAATGAAATCCACGTCCACTACCATGGAAATAACAGCTCTGGGACCCATCAAATTCATTCAAACCATCCATAACATTTTTGGCAGCATGACTGTGTACAACATCCAGTAAAACTAGAATTCCATTGCCATGAGCCACGTCTATCAGTTCTTTCAGCTCGTCAGGTGTACCATAGCGACTAAAATACAACAAGAAACATTTCGCGAAATTATAGCTGTATAACATTACTCGGTTTAGATGTCTAAGGTAGGGCTTCTATAGATGGCTACACAGCTTCAGGACAAAGAGATACAAAGAAATCGGCACACCTCTTCATTTTGTCATTTTTGAGTGCAACATAATTCTTTCATTTCCGCGGATACAGAGACCTCATGTGTGCAGATCTAAGCATACTTGCAAGCATGCAAACTATTTATACATATGGGTTATTGACCAAGCGCGAGGCCAGGATGGCTGGATATTGACCACGTTCTTTTTTGTGCGTTTATGGACCAAGACGGAGTCGAGGTCCATAAACTCGCA